CATCAATTCTATGGCTTTCTTTTGTTGACAAAACTCTCGATTAGATGTCGACTTAATTTGTTGTCGGAATCGACCTCTTCTTCCATCAAATACTTGTCTGATTCCCATTTCCAGAGCATTCGGTTCGAGAAAGTGTACCGAAAATCTGCTAAACTGTCGGCCGGAAAGTCAAATAAAGAGGAACCGGTCTTGAGGTTGAAATAATAGGGTTTGCCTTGACTTCGACTCCACCTCACAATCCACGGCTGTTTCACTGTATTCACGATTAACAGACCGAACGGTATTATAAAGCGTTCGTCACTATTGAGCTCATAGCAGAGCCGAACCTTTTGGGCACCACTTTTGCACTCTTTCATATCCATGTGAAGGAATATTTGGTGAATGCGCTGCAAATCGTACACCCGTTTCATGCGAACGGCCGCGTATTCCGGTTGACTACTCTTATTCACCGCTTTGGCAAACTTTGTGGCCAACGATACGCGCTCTTCGAAGCACTTGTTCCGCACATCAGTTCCGCCGATGAATAGCGGATCGATTATATGGAAGGCAGCGATCCTTCGCTGAGCCTTTCCCTCGCCTTTCAATTCTTGAACGTATTCTCCGTAGAGTAGAGTCGACGGCGAGAGTTCAAACTTGGCCTCAAATTTGATCCATTTGGAGGACGACGAGCCGTCCCAGTAGTAAATGTGTGTTCGGCCCAAACCCATGAAGAATCCGCGAACACTCGTGAAAGAGTTGGCGCCACTGCTGTTGCAGTCGTTGTCTGCGCCTAAAATCATGCATTTAAAGCCCAGAATGTGATCCAATTCTTGGACGTTGTCTTCTTCTAAGAGTTTTGGTTTATACGCGAAATAGTCTTTCGTTTCATTTGGCTTTGAAATGAGTTCTTGGAAGCGATGCGATGCCTCGCCTCTAAAGGGAGCGACTCTTGTCTTCACATCGACTTTCCAGTATTTGAGACACTCTTTCCTGAGCTCCGGTTGATTGAGATCTAACTGTGGATTCTCTGCAAACGCTTTCACTTTGGAGAGGAACACTATTTGACGCTTTCCTATATAGTTGTTTGACTCTGTCATGTATTGACAGAATTTCTCGTCAGCCATCAACACATCCGACGGAACCACTTCTATGATGTCTTCGCCGGTATTCTCTTTGGAAAGATAATCCAAATGACAGTTGAGTTTGAATAAGTAATGTTCGATGGCTTCTGTGCCGCACTTTTTCCACTTACAGATGATATAACGTTCAGAATTTGCGGGACGACTGCTGTTGGGCTTATGAATGCACACCTTTTTGAACACTCTATACATCAGATATATTAAGCCCACAGAGAATGGCGTAAAGATATCAAACAATTTGCAAACAAAACTGCCGTTTGTTTTCAAGAGGGCTAAAGAGCAGAGGAATTGACACAAATATAACCTCTTGGAGAGGATCTCCTGGTTATTCTCGTCGCCCTCCACAGAGAAGCCCCCGTCGGCCATAACAAAGTGCACGCCTTTGTCGGAGTTGTTGAGCACGAAATCGCGGAATGCAATCAGATTTTGCGGTTCATAGATATCTCCGTTTCCATTGAGGCCTTTGTCTCCGTAATGCGGTTCAAACGTTTCGGCAGAACCGGCGAAAAACTCGTCTAATTTGAAATCATTGGCGCCTTTGAGTGTCAGACCGAAGCCCTTCGCAGTCCAGCCCTTACGCCAGAGGACGTACTCCGAGAAGCCTCCCGGACCCGAACAGATGTCCGCGAAATACAACAACTCGTTCTGTTTGACCAGCGGTTTGCTCGACTCGTCCGTCGGTTCGGTGAACATAAAGCCGAACACAGCGTCCATATTAGCCATCTTCATGGCAGCCCTGTTCTGAAACATTCCCTTTTCAATGGTCTCGAATGGATTAGATGTGGAACGAGCTCTTCGTAACTCTTCGCCGCTAAGGCTATCGAAAACTGTTTTACAATTTAAGACATTATCTAAAATGTCTGAATCACAGAATTGTGTGGCGTTTTGAATACTCGTCACTTTCGGACCTATTTTTACATAACTCTCCAACTCTTTAGTTGTGGGCAACTCTTGTTGGCATTCATCGATCCAATGGATGTCTTCCACAACCGAAACAAATTCCTTCTCTTTCTCTGCCGTCCACTCGAAGACAGAGTCGATATGCATATCAGTCAACGCAAAGCCCAGACCTCTTCGGCCCTTTTGTTTGGACTCTGCGATCACATCCACGTTTCCCTGACTGTCTTTTCCCAATCCCTGTCCCTCTCTGTAACCCATTTTACTCATCAGCAGTCGTCCGATATTATTGTCTTTGGGAACCGGTTTCACGTCATTGTCGTTGTCGTCAATCCGTTTCGATGTCTGTCCGAAATAATTCTTCTTCTTCGGCGAAGACTTGTACGCATCGAAAGTGGTATTGTCTTCGGTCTTAACCTTCACTCCATCTGCAGATGAGTTCCCAGAGTTGGCGTATTTCTTCTTCTTCGGCGACGCCTTATGTGCGGCAAAAGCGGTGTTGTCTTCGGTCTTAATCTTCACGCCATCTTCGGATGTGTTCCCGAAGTCAGCGTAACTCTTCCTCTTGAGAGTACTCTTGTGAGCCATTGTTTGTTTTGGTTGTGATTTACAGTAAACCCAGAGTTTGTCTAACGATTAATGGATAATATTGTTGACCACAAGAAGTGATGTATGAAATCAATGCAACACTCGTTTCATAGACGCAAACATTTGGACTCAATTTGAAGGCAAATATGTTTTGCGACCAAAAAGTCACTCAAAAAATACAAGTCTATTGTGTTGTAAACAAACCAGACTTGAAATCACGTGACAAACACTCTCTCAAAAGTGGCGATTGTTTTGAATTACGCTTACATTTAATTCATTGCCTTTAGTTTTACAGCTTTTTTTATTAACTAACAAAATATTTATTTATTTTATGAAAAATATATAAAATATTATTTAATTAATTCAATGATAAGTTAGTTATGAAACACATAATTGTCTAACGAGTTGTCCATTGACTGAAAACGTGTCACTCGTTTGTGATATATTTACAAAAACAATGAATTGAAGGGAAATCACTGTCAGATATATTAGAGTTTGGGATAAACTCTATTAACACATAATTGTCTAACGAGTTGTCCATTGACTGAAAACGTGTCACTCGTTTGTGATATATTTACAAAAACAATGAATTGAAGGGAAATCACTGTCAGATATATTAGAGTTTGGGATAAACTCTATTCAAATCGTTGTTAGATTTGCCCAATTGTTTGGGCATTTTCTTATGGGTCGAGTCCTCGAGCTCTTTGTCCTTATAATAATGTGGCGCCACTTCCAGAAGCCATTGGGAATCAATTTCAATGGTTTGTCGCATATATTCTTTGGTCGTGAGAACCAATTCGTGGTACAGAACCCAACGGGGCTTCTCTTCAAAGAGGGATGAGTTGGGATGAATGAGAACCGTCTGCTGACCCTTCACTGTCTTGTAAGAACCGGCGGTTCTCGAGAGTCGGGCCGTGTGGTAGAAATAGCCCGATGTTATGGCTTTCCTGATGGCGATGTGGTCGCTATCGCACGACTTGAGCTCAATCTCAACCCTTTCCATAAGGCCTTCCAATTGGTCCCTCACATCGCGAGCCCTACACATCGATCGGTATTGAATGAAGTTCTCGAGACACCACTGACGAGAATAACCCGATTCTGCCCATTGGTTGTACACATTGACGAGCATTAGGTGATCGCCGCCCAACTGGAAGAAGTTCTTTCTGGCGGTGTCCGCGTGAATGGCCTTATCTTTGGGTCTGTAAAAGACCGATGCGTTCACATTCAACATCGCAGAGATGGTCACAACCTCTTCACTGCAACTGTATTTTTCGGACGCAATCAGTGTCTTAGACATCATGGGATCGACGGGAAACTCAGCCATTCGTCGGCCGAGTCGTGTCAGTTCTCCCAAATGATTGAGAGCTCCCAAAGCGTACAACTGTTCCAACGCCAGGACAAGTGTCTCGTGCGGCGGAGGGTCTAAGAAGTCGAAGTGTAAGATATCATTGATGCCCAAACTCTTGAGTGTGAGGACAACATTCCCTAAATGCACTCTTTGTATCTCAGGAATGGTGTTGTCTTCCAACTCGTGCTGATACGCCCACGCAGTGAACAATCGGAAACACTTTCCGGCGGCCACTCGACCCGAACGGCCAGCTCTCTGGTTAGCGCTGGCCTTAGAAATGGGAACCACTATTAGTGACTCCATTCCCGTTCGGGGATTAAAGCTATTCTGTTTGCAATATCCCGGATCGATCACAAACAGGATGTTATCGATGGTAAGCGATGTCTCGGCAATATTGGTCGCGAGCACTACTTTGCGTGAGTTGGGAGGCGTGGGTTCAAACACCTGCGCCTGCATATCGGTCGGTAGGTTGGAATAGATCGGACGTATAAGCAGTTCGCGTATACGAGTGCCTAATTTGCGTTGCCTTTCCTGAAGTATTTCCTGAGTCTGTTCTATCTCTTCCTGTCCCGGAAGGAACACTAGAATATCACCCAATGGTTGGGTCACATGAATCTGCAGTATAGTCACACAACAGGCCTCGACGTAATCAGCTTCGGGTGCTTTTGTGTAGTATATATCGACGGGAAACCGACGGCCGGGTATACGAAAGACCGGCGCGTCGTCGAAGAACTCACTAAACTTTTGCGCGTCGAGTGTCGCCGAAGAGATCAAAAGTTTGAGGTCAGGCCTGAAACGAGCGATATCTTTGACGAGTCCAAAGAGCACATCCGTATGGAGTGTCCGTTCGTGCGCTTCGTCTACAATAATGACGGAATAGGAGGAGAGGTCGGGTTCGGACAGGAATTCACGCAAAAGCATTCCGTCGGTCATGTATTTAAGGAGTGTTCGTTCACTCGTGCAGTCCTCGAACCGAATACTATAACCGACTTCATTGCCGAGTTTTATACCCATCTCTTCGGCCACTCGGGCGGCGACACTCATGGCCGCCACCCGTCGGGGTTGAGTACAGCCGACCTTTTTATTATCGGCACAAAATCCCGCCTCATGTAAGTATTGGGGTATTTGAGTGGTCTTTCCAGAGCCGGTCTCGCCTTCAATGATAAGCACCTGATGTTCTCTAATCGCTTCGATCAGCTCTTCCTTAAACGGATAGATAGGAAGCAAACGTCTCGTCTCATCGATGGTCTGTTTCTTTGTCTTCTTCTCCTCCTTCTCGTGGTCTTCTTCATCGAAATTGTCGCCACCGATAGTCAGCGACTGAACGAACTCTATCTCCGCGTCCATCACTAACTCGTATTCCTTACGCGACTTCTTATTGGCGTCTTTGGCGCCGAACCGAAGTCTCGCGATTCCGAGCCTCTCTTCCTCCCACTTCTTCTGCTCAGCGTTTGGCGCCCTTTCCGTGTCGTCCACTTCGATGTACTCGTCGTTGTTCTTGCCTTCGCTCGGCATATGATATCTCTGGACGTTCTCGAGATCGCGAGCCCTGTCGTGCTCTCGCGCCAAATGCAACACTTTCTTCTGGTACTCGAGCTTCGCCTTCTCACTCTCCGTCAGGTTCTCCTCATTAAACAGGTATTCCTCGTCAGCGATGTCTGCCTCCAGAAGAGCTAATTTGTCTTCTTTTCTCTTTTCCAAATACTGTCGTCTCGACTCAACCCTCAGTTTAGGCATTATTTTCTGTCGATCCTCGGCCTCCAGTTTCAGCCGTTTGGCCGCCTCTTCGTAGGACTTCTTGTCGCTATTTGTGGCGATATTTCGGGTCTTATTCTTGTCCTTCAGGCGAAGCCTTTCGGAGAATTCGTCCCTTTCTTTAAGATCTCGAGTCCTCTCTTCTTCGTCCGAATCCATCGACTCTTCGCTTTCATCGCCTTTTCGTGAAGTGTCTGTCGGTTTGGAAACACTCTTCGGTTCGACAAAGACATCACTTTTGTTGACATCAATTGTTTGACGCGATTCTCTCACTTTCGTCTTCGACCGGCGTTTTGTGGCCGTTGTCTGAGCCCTCAGTTGTGACCACAACTCGTGAGCGAATTGGTCCACCTTTTGCTGGTCATCGGTTCCCAAAGCGTTGGACACTTTGGTCTTGAATTCATCGATGTCTGAGGACTTGTCCACCAAATGGTTGACAAACTTTACGGTCGACTTATCGACGAAACCAATCAATTGGTGCAAAGAGTCGCTCACTATTGAGGCCCTCATCGATGGCGACAAAGACATCGTTCACTCAATTCAATCACAATTACAAACAATTCAACACTAAATTCATTGCATTTTCAAAGCAATTGCTTTGCGTTTGAAAAACATTTGCTTTTATAGTAAATAAGCCGTAATTTATGTCAACTTTATTTACAACACTAGAAATGAGCGCTTTTTTCAAAACTACAAACTTTTTAATTTTTATTAATTTATCTAATTTATAATCAAATTCACTTTTCAGACACAAACTCATTGACACACATTTATTGTACCATTTATCTCTCTCTCTCTCTCTCTCTGATTCATGAATTATTGTCATTTCATTTTTGACAAACAAACAGATTTTTAATGAACAAATTGTTGACAGCAATGATATGACATATATTTTGCTAAATTAATGAATAGTTAAGAAAAGGGAGGCTTAGGTTACCAAACAGTCCAACAGTTGTTATGATATGTGATATTAATTAATAGTTTTGGTAATTGAGATGCAATTTAGTAAAGTATACTCTATTTATAAGTTGTTGAGTGATTACAATGATTATAACAATTGACTGTAATTTGCTATCAATTTGGGGGACAATATATGGGACGTAATGTATGGACAGACGTATTGAGCAGTTTGTAAAAGTCATAACAAAAGTGCGATAATATGCCGACAAAAACACAATAACTGTAATTGTTTTCACTATTTATGATCACATTTCATGATTAATGCCATTTGAATGATAATTAGTTTGTGTCTAAGAAGTGAAATAATGAAATGCCAATTGAATTGAATGGTCGTAAAGGATGTGATGAGTGTTAACGATGTGTTGTCCCCCACAGAGACCCCTCCGCCCGGGTATATGAGCGAAGACGGCGACAATCAGGATCTCAATGGCACCGATAATATGGGTATTGATATTGTGATTGCATTTGTGTTGCACTGATTGATGTGATGATACTAATGATGTGATGTCTGGTTCAGACACTTCCCTTATCTCATCGCCATCTCCACCATTGGATGTCCAACCGGTGACGTATACGGAGCCGGCGTTCTGGTGCTCAATCTCATACTATGAACTCAATACCCGTGTGGGCGAGACTTTCCACGCCTCCCAACCCTCACTCACTGTCGACGGCTTCACCGATCCGTCCAGTTCTGAGCGCTTCTGTTTGGGTCTTCTCTCTAATGACACCCCCCCCATAGAAGACATAGAATAACTGGAAATAAAACTATTTCTATCTAAAAGTCATGTATGTACTCAAAATTTGTTATCAAACTGTTGTTATCAAAAGATTAGCTTTGATAAAAAATTAAGCTCTTTAAATCTTTAAATAAGTCTTTAAATTATGAAAATGCGAACGTAATTTGCGAATCACCCCTAATCCTATGGATAATGCTAAGGGCCTAAGAATAATTCTAAGAATTCTAAGGATTCTTCTAATTCTAAGAATAATTTTAAGTCAACGGAACTCATATACAATTTATGAACAAAGCTAATCTATTCTTCGAGCATCACGCGAATTGTGGTTAGCGTACTAACAAGGTATAGATACTATCTTTGTTGTGGCAATCGGTAGGTAATGCTGTACATCACTGTAACATCACTCATGTTTGTGCTCTTTTGATTCATTAAACTACTGAATCAATAGTATTGATGAATATTTGATTGTAAACTTCATCATAAATTGCAACTTTGCTTAAATATTGTCATTTTTAAATTGATAATCGAAATGCATTTCTAACTTCTATATGAAAATAAATGCAAATAAAGTTTCATCCCTTTATTGCTGTACAATAATGGCATTGAAATGAGCAGTGAATGCATTGTGTGAACCACACTGTGATTCCTATGCAAAGCAAACTTGCATTGAATGAGTGATGCATTTATCGTGCATTCAATGCATTCAATAAACCATTCATTTGTTAAACATTTCACAATCACTTAATTATCATATGTTTATCTAATCTCAAGTCTCTGTCCCCAACACTACAACACATACACTAACCATATATTCATTTAACTCTGAGATAACTCTTTCGCACAATTATCTCATAAAACAACTAAATATGAAGTGATTTGCAAAATAATTACCAAAATATCATCGTTTGAATGCTTTTTCAATGTTTTGATTGTATTTTTGTTGTCATTTATTTGTGTCTCTCTTTTACGTCAATTTATAAATATTTTGTTTTTCTTATTTAACATCAAATCAATAGTGATTTGCATTGAATTAAAGGCCAATCATTGAGAAGATATGCAAAGACGAGTGGAAGTGAAAGTTGTTGTGTTGGGTCCGCAAGGTTTGCATCAATTGATCCACTCTTTGACTCTACTGTGAACTGTGGTTAACATATGATATGAATAGGTGTGGGAAAGACATCGCTGTCGATGGTATATACGGGTAAAAAGTTTAACCAAAGCCTATCGCCGACAATCGGTTCCTCATATTTTCCGTATGAGATAACAGTGAAAGACACGGCAGTAGTGCTCGAGATCTGGGACACCGCCGGTCAGGAAAGGTTCCGCTCAATGGCTCCTCTTTACTATCGCAACGCGAAGGCAGCGCTTGTCGTCTTTGATATCACCAGTTATGACACATTCCTCGCACTCAAGAGTTGGGTCAGAGGTTTGCATTCAATCCAATCATTTATTACGCAAACAATGGTTTAATTTGTGACAATTTTTGCAGAACTTATTCGACAAACAGATAATTCGGTAATCGTTTGTATTGTCGGCAATAAACAGGATCTGGAGGCCGAACGCCGGGTGACGACCAGTGAGGCCGAGGCCTATGCCCTTCACATTAACGCCGAATACTTCGAGACGTCGGCCTTAGCCAAGACGGGCATCACTGAAGTCTTCTCCTTTATCGCCAACAAAGTCACCCGTCTTTGCGATAATAAGTGCCAAACATTTGGTTTCGGTGAGAGTCTGGACAACAGTTTCATCGATGAACCCAACGTTCACAACAAGAAGCGTCTCAAAGACACAAAAGACTCGTCCTTTAGTTGTTGTGCCAATTAATACATTATATTATTTTAATATTCAATTGACCGCTATTTTCATACTTAACACTTAAGTCAACGTTTTATAATTAATATAAGAGATTATTTTTATTTTCACTCATTTGATGCTATTTTTGATTAAATTAAATTTATTAATGTTTTAAACATTCATTTTTTATTAAAATAAATTTAACATTAAAAATACATTATTTTGAGAGAGAGAGAGAGAGAGAGAGAG